TATTTTCAAATTTAAATATGTGTAATTTTACAGCTGTCAGAATGGCTATCATCAACAAATCAACAAACGCCAAGTGCTGGCTAGTATGTGGAGAAAAAGGAACCCTTGTGCACTACTGGTGGGAATGCAGACTGGTGCAGCCACTGTGGAGAACAGTATGGAGTTTCTTAAAAAAAATAAAAATGGAACTCCCATTTGACCCAGTAATCCCACTTCTAGAAGTATATCCCAAGAAACCAGAAATACCAATCAGAAAGGATATATGCACCCCTATGTTCATAGCAGCACAATTTACAATAGCTAAGATTTGGAAACAACCTAAGTGCCCATCCCATCAGCAGATGAGTGGTTTAAAAAACTGTGGTACATCTACACAATGAAATATATGTTGCTATAAAAAAGAAGGAATTTTTACTATTTGCAACAGCATGGATGAAACTGGAGAGCATTATGCTAAGTGAAATAAGCCAGTCAGAGAAAGATAAATATCACATGCTCTCACTCATATGTAGGATATAATGATCAACATAAACTGATGAACAAAAATAGATCCAGAGACAAATGGTAGGGGAGGAGAGGTGGTTAGAGAGCAGCCAAAAGACTTGTCTTGTATGCATGCGTATTAGCATAACCAATGGACACAGACACTGAGGTGGTGGGGGCTTGCCCTTGGGGTTGTGAGGGGCCAGTGTTGGGGTCAATCTGGGAAAAAGGAGACATATGTAAAACTTTAGACAATAAAAAAAAAGTTGTGTAATTTTATCATACAAAACATTGATTTATGCACATAATCCTTCATAACAATAAAAAATTAAGACATCATCAAATTTTTATATTAATATAAATTATAATTTTTTCATTCTAATGCATAATATATAAGAAGATAAGTACACATGTTATAGTTTGTATTTAAAAATATATATACATTCCCACCTGTACATGTAATCTCTTTATGTAAAGATAAGTAAAACCTTTCTTTTCGATCCCATTGAAGGAACAGATCACCAACCCTTAACAATGGAAATGACTAGTTACAAATTGGTGTAACAGGAATATTAAAGAGGAATTCCTTTTCTTCCTTGTTGCTTAATTATTCTTCCCTCCTGTTTGGCCAATCCTATATAATAAAAGGGTAATATGCAAATAGATCGAATGGCAGAACAACTGAAGAACCAATCAAAGTGTAATATGCTAATGATATGCTAACACTGCTCAACTGCTTGCTATGTTGTGCACAAACCACCAGGGGGCAGATGCTCTAACTGGTAGGTTAGCTTGCTGCTGGGGTCTGGCCTATTGGGACTGAGCGAGATGGGCCGGACATGCCCTGGAGCTCTCCCGCAGTCCTCCCTGGCCTGATCGTGCTTCAGTGGGGTCCCTCAGCCTGGCCTGCACCCTCTTGCAATCTGGGACCCCTTGGAGGATGTTGGAGAGCCAGTTTCAGCCTGATCCCACAGGCCACTCCCCTTGGGAGGGTGCCAGAAGCAGGATTCATGACTGTCAAGCTCTGCTGTGGTAGCGCAAGCCTCTCCCTATCAGGACTGATTGGGCGCAAGCCAGGAGCAGGCACAGTGGGGCCAGGATGAGCGGGAGTGGCAGGTAGGAGCTGCACGCAGCATTGGACTCCACGTTTTGGCCCAATCACTGCTAGCCACCCAGAGGGACCCCACCCGTGCACAAATTCGTGCACCGGGCCTCTAGTGTGAAATATAAATATACATCACATACCGGTTATTTTTCAGAATACTTGTGTTTAGTACAAAATGCTATATATACTCTTTCGGTACAAAGAAAAATGAAAATGATATTTCTAGAGTTGATGAAAGAAGTGGATAGATAATTGAATTTGAAGTCTGTGAAGTAAGATGGACAGCTTCTTCTGTGTACTTCCTTGCTGTTTGCTGAAAAGTGACCTGCTCCTTTTGTGTGTTTCCTTTCACTATATCTTCATTTAACACAGAATTGACTAATTTGCTATAATTTCTACAAGTTTCAGCTTTCATTAAGCCAGAGTTAATGTTTAAGGCAATTTTAAGTGTTCTGTCAGGTAATAGTAAAATGCTTCCATTAAAAATGTATTTCCAATAATCAATAGAAGTCAATAACATCACCCTCCATAAACAGTCTTTTGGAAGAACCATTTAGAAGCGATGACAAGCTAATGGGTCTCTATATAAATATAGATAACTTCTTTGTGAATTGATATTTAGATTATTTGGTTCAAAATGAACTCATTATTTTACATTTATATCACAGTTTCTACATAGTATTAAAGAAATTTGTGTATCTGAATTTGATAGTATTACATTTCAATGTAATGATTAATCTAGACCAGTGATGGCGAACCTATGACACCTCTGACACGCGAACTCATTTTTTGGTTGATTTTTCTTTGTTAAATGGCATTTAAATATATAAAATAAATATTAAAAATATAATTATTTGTTTTACTATGGTTCAAATATCAAAAATGTTTCTATATGCGACATGGCACCAGAGTTAATTTAGGGTTTTTCAAAATGCTGACACGTCAAGCCCAAAAGTTTCGCCATCACTGATCTAGACTGATAATAAATATTGCAAATTAAAATGAGTTTTCATGAATGTGGCTTAAAATTAGCAATATAAATCTAATATTTATTGCCTAAATATTTTCCTAAAATCTTAGTTTCTAAAATTGATTTCTATATGACTTAGAAATGACAGGATAGGTAAAAATTAATGTTTGTTATCTACATTTGATTATATCAAAATGTTAATATTCTGGCTATTAGCTGCATAATATAATTAGGGAGCACTTCATGTATTAGTTTTTAAAAATTCTCCCTTCTTTCTCATGCTCTTAGCTATGGTCAGATATTCAAATTAGATAGGAAATGGGAAGGGTTAGAGAGGCTGGTCAGTATAGTTAGTACCAAGTTCATATTGTCGTGGCCTTCTGTAGCAACAATTAATCATCTCCTTATCAAGGTGAGGCCACTTTGGGTAGAGAGATGAAAATTAACCTGCCAGACTAGTCAGAAGTGGACATAGTTTCACCCTTGCTTTATCAGGTCTTGACTCTGTTGATAGTATATGTTTAATATTGTGATGAATTTCACTGGAAAACTTGGGGCTCCAGTCACAGAGGTATAAAGTCAACACAACTGGTAGATGTGTGTCTTTATCTGTGTATACATATATAGTCTGTATATATTTCTTCCTATATATGTGTAAACTTATATATGAAAAATACATTTTATATATTCACAATTTCACTTTTATATATACACACTATGAAGGATAGTCAAGAGACATATAGTGTGTATATGGATATGTATGTAGATATGAATATATAGTCACTCTTTGTCATATTATCGACCCTGTGGTGGGTGACTGTTTTTGTCAGTAGGTTTATTCAAAAGACAAAAGGTACATTGGCCAAAATGCTTATAATTAAAAAAGTAAACACTTTGAAAACGTGTGCCTGCCTAGAAAACTCACTCTGAATACAAATACTAGTAAAACATGCATGACACTATGCGAAAGAATTTCCCACATTTGTAAGTCAGGATCCTCATACACTGTTTTTATTCCTTATGGTTATAAGTTTGGAAGGCAGGATCCTGCAGTGATTTAGAGTAAGGACATTGCAATCAAATAGGTAAGGACTCTGGCTCTTACTATGGGAATTTCAGTATATTTTTTGTTCTTAATCTTAATTGTTATAACTTGATGTATATTGCAGTAGCATGCATATACATATTTCATAATTATATTAAGGATTAAAATGGGATTCTGTGATATGGAAGAGTTAATAGAAAATGATAAACATGTTTAGATCACAGTATTTAAAAATAAGAAGATATTAGCATTTAAAGAAAACTTTTTAGTTACCCCAATTTACTTACATTTTGAATGGGTAATCTCCTTCAAAACACTTAATAATCCTACAGATAGGTATTATTATTATTATTAGACATATGATGAATATGGGGATTGGAATTTAAAGTCTCTTGGTCACAGACTTATACTTAATGAATCACAGTCAAAATTGGAAATCAGTTTACTCTTAAAACTGGTGTATTTAACCAATATGGTGCTGACAATCACTCAATAAATGTTAGCCACATTCTTTTTTTTTTTTTAATATATTTTATTGATTTTTTACAGAGAGGAAAGGAGAGAGATAGAGATAGAGAGTTAGAAACATCTATGACAGAGAAACATCGACCAGCTGCCTCCTGCATATCCCCCACCGGGGAAGTGCGCGCAACCCAGGTACATGCCCTTGACCGGAATCAAACCTGGGACCTTTCAGTCCGCAAGCCGACGCTCTATCCACTGAGCCAAACCGGTTTCGGCATGTTAGCCACATTCTTATCATCATCATTATATATGCATGAAAGAATGCCATGGTTATCTACTAAGACTTAATGTTAGTTTTTCAGGAAATATTTCTCAGTTATCTCTCCTGAGAGATTCGTCTGTCTTTAATTTTCTACAAATATATTGAATTTACTAGTATTAAAAAAACTGAAATCCTTGTTTATAGAAATGAAAGGTAGAAAGAAAAGTGAAAATAAATTAAAATTAGAAGTTTGATTTCTATCTACTTTATGAATGGGCTCTCAGAAAGTTTCCTGATTTTATCTCCTATTATTCAGAAAAAATAAAATTCAACATTTCGAAGCTATGAATTCGTAAAGATCTCATGATATAAGACATTCAATGTTTTCACCTCTTGGTCCTTTTCAAAGCTTTTTGTACTTATTAAATTCTTACCAATGCTCTCCATGTAATAACACTTTGATGTACTATTCATCATTTCCATTTGAAGGAAGTAATTAAATTCCTGCTTAACTATCACACTGCTTTCAGTACAATATGTTTCAGTAATAATCTGCATGTTTTAAGTGAAAATATACATTTTCAAATACATGAATTGCTTTGAGTTATTTCCAGTGGACATCACAGAATGTTTATGTCATTGTTTAATGGCAACACTTACTTCTTTCTAGGAGCAATTTTTGATGAATCTGCCAAAAAGGATGATGAGGTGTTTCGCACAGCAGTTGGCGACCTCAACCAGAATGAGGAGATCTTACAGACTGAGAAAATCACATTTTCGGTGACATTTGTTGATGGCAACAACCCATTTCAAGCGGTTCAAGAAGGTAAGGATCATCGGCAGTCCGATTTTTATAATTCTTGTTTTTTGGTTCAATTTGAGTGACATTAAAGTTAGATTATGTAAAAAGCCCTTGAACTAGGATATCGTTTTTTGTTTTTTTTTTTTTATCTTAGCTGCATTGATTTTCTTAGAGAGTATTGTTTTGTAGATATTAATCCTGGATTCCACTTCTGAAAGGGCAGAGTGTGCAAAGTTAGTGCTTTCATTGAAATGTAATATGAAAGGAACGTGAATATTTACCATAAAAGCTTTATTTTATTATTTCAGTGTAAATGAAGCATTCCAAAAATAGCATTTTTATATTTGAATTTTTACTTTTGACTGAAAAAATTGCCACATTGAAAGTTGTTAAACTTGAGTTGACATTTCAGATATATTCATCACAAGTGTATTGGTGGGAGGGAAACTTTTAGACACTACCCTACAATTCAAAGATTTTGTGCTGGGAATCTAATATACCAACATGGGCTATATATTTTTTATTCTCTACAATATACCAAATGTTAAAGCACTTTCTTCCATTCTTTCTGTATACTTGAGAGAATTAAAAATTTTCATGAGTACAAAGTCATACAAGTGCAAATTATTTTCATTATGCTGAAATAATAATTTGTAGGAATGAAGGTTTTGATTTTAAGATCTTAGACTAAAGGATTTATATTATTGATGCTACTATGCTAACAAAATATTTGACCTTTTGATTGGAAAAGCACTTGTTCAGAAACTGTTGCCAGTCTATTTTATATTTTATAATGATAATATATCTAGACTAAAGATACTAACACAAAATTAAATTTAGACAAATGAAGCATTCACTTCATTAGAAGATTAAAGGGTTTGGCAGCAGCAAAGATAGAGGAGATGGCTTATGTAGTAAAGTTTGGCAAGAAACTTTTTAAAGACAAATACTGAAGGGAAAAGAAAGTATATAAACTTGTGTTTTTTTAAGTGATCTTTTCATGAATGCTGTATCTGTATGTTGTACAAGTAAACTTTATTGGAATATGTTTGGATCAGTAGCATTGGTGACTGTTTAAACTTATTTATGTTTACTTTTGTCAGTAAGAGAATGGATAGAATGATTAGTGTCCTAATGGACTTTCCTTCTTATCAATTTGATGGAGTGAAAAAGTATTATTTTAATGAAATGAATATAAGAGAATTAACGAAAAGCTATTTCCACAAATAATTTGTTTATAATATGATGGGATTTTAATTTTTAATAAGTAAACATAAATTTTAAAAGTCAGATTAATATAAATAGCCATTTATTTACATTTAAATGATCATTATTCTGGGAATTTGGGGTCTTAAATATTGACTGTGTTAATGAATTTTCTATGGAAACATTTAATAGCTATTTAAATTAATATTAGAATACATGAAGCAATCTCCAAAATAATAAAATTGAATTTGAGGAAAATACCCAATAATATATGAAATAATATATACACTAGGAAGAACGTTATTCACTGTAATGAAACACTTATGGTATTTCTTCCTCAGCTCTTAGTTTTAATGACTGAAATAAGAGGAGGAAAAAATGAGAACTGATTTATTTTTGTGACAATCTTCTGAATGACTATTTATTAATTTTTGGAAATTAACTTTAAAGACATGTTAAAATATCCATGGCTTTCAAAAATCCACTTTGACTGAAAGTGCGTAGAAATAAATAAATAAAGACAATATCATAGGTAGAAGGTAATTACAAAGTGTGAATAAGTATGTCCTGCACACCTGTTTTATTGACTACAATTTGAAAGTCAAAGATAATGCTTAAAGATGCCCCTATGTATTTATATCGCTTTGTATAACTATTGTGTTGCCACCTGAATTCTGCAAACATGTATTTCTCTCAAAAGATCTATTATGAATTGAAAGAATTTGTGGAACTGAAAGCAAATAAAGAGAGGAAAGAAGGTTTAAGTGTCTGAGGTAGCTATTTGCCTAGATATCTGTCAAGAAGAAGAAAGAGCTTGAGACTTTGCCTGACGGTTTCTGGTACCAAGAGCATGTTCTGGACCAGGTATTTTGATGGTCTGCTCTAGGTAATGAAGCTCTGGAGCTAATTTGTTTCCCCATTCAATATCAAGAAAGACCTCCACTAATTTTTAGAAGTAAAGATACTTTTCTCAGGGGTTCTATTTGTCAGTGATTTCTTTGAAAAAACAAAGAGGAAATATTCAACTGAAAGAGAACATGAAATAATTAAGGACTATTTTCTTAAATATTTAGAGGAAGTAATTTAGGAGGAAATCTCAATTATACAATCAAAGACTGCAAATTTTCTATGAGCACACCTTTGCTGTAATACCTAAAAATCTATGCAGTGGTTCTCAACCTTCTGGCCCTTTAAATACATTTCCTCATGTTGTGACCCAACCATAAAATTATTTTCGTTGCTACTTCATAACTGTAATGTTGCTACTCTTACGAATCATAATGTAAATAATCTGATATGCAGGATGGTCTTAGATGACCCCTGTGAAAGGGTCATTCGATCCCCAAAGGGGTCGGCGACATACAGGTTGAGAACCGCTGGAGAGTCTTACATCAGCTTGTTTATTTTTCACATTCTAAAGGAGGAAAAAATGTTCAGTGATATCATTATTACTGATTATTTACACATTAGCACTCTTGATGAACTTCTAAAAACTTAACGGTTTTGAGTCCTTTCTCCTTCAAGCTTTTTTATTTTTGTTTATTTTATTTTGAAATCTGATCCTGAACAAATATAATCGCCAGCACATAGATATTCGGTGGTGATAACAAGTGATAAAAAGACTGGTCATCGGATTGAAAAATGAAATTTTAAAATCTGAAATGCTCTATTTACTTTATTGTTAGAACTTCCTTTCATTGGACACATTTGTGAAATGGTTATTTTCAGACATTTGAATTTTTGTTTACCTTGTGTTTCTACTATCAACACTTAATGAGACAGAGGCATTAAGTAGGTTTTAATAAACCTACTAAACCCATATATTGCAATAAAGAGTAATGTTACTATTTAAATATTATTGTGTGACTTTGATTGCAATAAATTTGAGCATAGTAAATATTGATTTAAATAATTACCAAATAATTATTTTTGAGGTGAGTCTTTAGAAGATGTTGTCTTGCTTATAACACAGAATCAATATTGCATTTTCTGGAGATCAATGACTGTAATTTATCATTTTTATCATTGTTCTGTAACATTAATCTCAGTAGTTTTAGATAGTGGTGAACAGTAGAAAATAATTTGTTTTCACAAAAGTAATCCTGAAATAAAGCACCTATTTTCATAATTATTTTTATTTTATTTTGACTATATTTGATGTTTATCCATTGTATACTTTCTATTGAATTGTGGGAAGTTAGCTAAGAACAAATAATTTTTATACTTTATCCCAGGAGATTGACCCCATATGTATATATATGTATATATATGTATACACACACACACACACACACACACACATACATACACATACACATATATATGTATATGTATTTATATGCTATTTTATAGATGGGACAAAGCTTTTTCTCTTAAGACAATGTATAAAAGAAAATAAATCATATGGAATATTTTTGAAAACCTAGAGAATTATAGAAGTGGAAAATTATATATTCCTAGTTGAATGTTTTTGATATGTAGATGAAGTTGAGACCAGAGTGGTTAAATTATTTTCCTATACACTGCAAGTGTAGATCAGATAAAGAACTAAACCAAAAACTTCATAGTATTATACTAATGTTTTACTTGCTCTATCTGCTACATATGTGTATATCTATATCTATGTCTCTCTCTCTCTCTCTCTCTCTCTCTCTCTCTCTCAAATATTTCCTTACTCTTCTCTTGTAGACTGTCTCCTCTGTGATGCTTACGTACTGGGTGTAACATAGGTGCACAAATGTCTGGTGTGAGAGAGACCTCCTCTTCTGAAAGCAATAACTGTTGTTTATACTGCTAGCTCCTCGCTGAGACTAACAACAGTATGGGCTTTGAAAGGTGGGAGTTTACTAAAAACAAGGTCAGGGTAGGTAAGGGGAGTGCATTTGTAGAAAGGTTCACTGAGAGGGCTGAGTGCAGAAAAGGAGTCATGTAGAGTTGTTGCAATGCATCAGATGTATCAGGAAGGATGCTACGCACCGTGTGTTGCTATTGGATAGCAAGACTCATTTGAAACATTTTGAAATATTTGCTCTTATAAAAACAACTAAAAATGAACTACATAGTAAGAGGAGTGTAAAGGCAAAATTGTTCTGTAGAGTCACAAATAATTCTATTTGAAAGAAGCAAGAGTAACTGTCATAATTATTATTATTTCTGTTAGGTTGCAAAACATTATAAACCCTATAGTTATAAAGGCTGTTTTAAATATAGAAAGGAGGTATGGTTAATATGGCTCGTCTTCCAAGTTTCAGCCTGGTTCACCTTCAACTAACTCGTTTGCATTCCACAGCACGAATATTGATTGCTCCCCAGAAGTCTGCAAAATATATACATCTCACTTTTAACACCATGATAATTTGCATCCTATATCTTCCAAAATCAAATTACTGTAAGTGTAAAATAATGAGACTGCTTTCTTTTATGATTTATAAAACCAATCTCATGCCTTTATATGCATAAATAAAAGACACAAGCAACCATATCATGTGTGTCAAAGAGGTAATAGGAGAGTAGGATAGCCAAGGAGATTTTAAGGAAATATATCTAGGAAAAATCACTTCTCCAAAACACATCACTATTCATTGTGAATATTTCTGGTGCTATTGGCTAAATCGGAGTTGTCTGGTTCAAAAAGGATGTAAATGAAAACGAAAGATTTATGTGGCCACGCTATTTGAGTAACATTCCAGGGCTTAGTCTCATAATTTATATTCCCCTCTGCTTTAATAAGACATTTTTACTGTGATAAAAATTTTTGCTGATTCCAAATTATTAGATTGGATTCTGCAACTTTCCTAGCTCAGGACTTCAATGTGTAT